CGCAAAGTTGGCTTATCAGAAGAAACTGGACTTAAAGAGACAGGAGCTAAAATGGCTTGTTTCAGACAGAGGCTGAACTGAAGCTGCATGAAGGGCCAGTATAAAATAAATAAGTGCTATAAATAAAATATATATATAAATAAATACATTTTGCTTGGTCATCCTTGAACATCTTAGTAGATATTACTCTGTGGAACATAGGTGACATGTGGCAAGTGACAGGCAAGTAGAGGACAGAGTCAGGTAGATGTAGATGAAACCCTTTACCAACACAGAATTTCCCTCATGTACTCCTGCCTGTTACCTTGGGGGATTCTAAGCTGCTGCCAGCACACACACTAATACACACAAACACACACATTCACCTGTAAATGAGCACTGTGTCCCTACTGCATCAAAGAACGCTACCTTCAGTCAGGAAGGCACAAAAGTAAGGAGGTGTGTTCTTTCTCTTCATCTTCTGTGTAGCTCTGACGTGATTTGTGTATCGGCCCCTTTAATCTCCATTCAGCTGAAAACCAGCAAGAGGCCCAGGTACAGTATACTGTAGCCTTTCCAGGAGGGAGACACAGACAGACATACAGTTAATATTTTATGTCTGTAGAGACCGTCAGCTCACTAAGAGCTTGGGACCACATGAAACACTGTTTGATGGTTAAAGTAGTGAATTATCAGCTGGAGGAAACCCCTGGGATAAAAGGGACTGAAAGCACTTTGTCTTTTCTTTCTCTTGGAAGGCATTCATCTGAGAGAATTGGAGATCGCTTTGGACCACAGAAAAAGGAAAGTGTAAATCTGTACCCAGTTACTGTGAGTCTGTGCAGTCAAACATCTGTGACAGTGTGTCTGCTTACACATTCACCAACATATTGAGGATGCTTCAGTCAGTCTCAAAACTACGACTTACAGGTGGTTCAGAAATATAGGTGATTGTTGAGTCTCATTCCCAGGTAGTCAAATAAAAGATTCGGCATTTGACGACCTGGGCACAAATTGGGTTATTTACCATAACCCAAAGCATTGGTATTTGACCACCTGGAAATGAGACACAACAATCAAGACTTGAGACTTGACTTGAACATTCCAATTGACTTAAAAGTTGACTTGAACGTGTCAGTTACTTGACTCAGACTTCTCACCTTCAGTAGTTCACCCTTCTGCAGGATTCTCCTCCTCTACGTCTCCACATTGCCATGTCTCTTTAAAGAGCAGAAGATATTTCTCAGACTGCTGCAGACACGTCTGCAAACTCTCTCTCTGTCTGTCCCTGGAATTCATTGACTCCAGTCAAAAGAGAACTGAACACTTTTCTCTTTACAGACAGCCATGGCCCTCACCTTTCTTTTTTTCACCGTCCCTTGTTTGGCTTTGCTGTAGATTTGCTGAGAGAAGCATCTCAAGGGCAGCCACGTATTCTTTTGGGCATCTTCTCATTACTCCTGGACAGAGGTCGATTGATTTCTTGAGCATTCCTTTGATTCTTGTTCCATGCTTTCAAAGACTTTTTTTGATGATGATGTATGGGAATGATACAGAGGGAAAGAAAATAATGATACATTACTGCATTGATTTCTACAATGTCTCCCCCATGTTTTCCTTCTGGCTTTGCATGGGCCTTGAGGGGCTTCACTGCCTCTCCCAGCAGCAGTGATTTTGTTTTATTTGAGAAAGCACACTTTGTTTCTGTTCTCGTGTCTGTAGAAGCAGCAATAATCTAGTACTTAAAAATTCTCTTTACTGAAGATTTAGATTGATTTTGTTTTGTTGAGCATCACTACATGGCTAATTAATTTAGAACATCACTGTTCAATTCATAAATATTATATTTGTTTACAAAAAAAAGATTTAAGTTATGTGTGCAGTTTGTTTGTTTGTCTGTCAGCAGGATTATGGAAAAACTACTAGTCCGATTTTCATGAACCCATAACATTTTGGAGCAGATCTCAATCATTGGCCAGATACCAGGGGCATTTCCACCGCAAGTGCCGCCCCATTATCCTTATCTCTTCTACTGCACTTTCTGCTTTCAGAGGCTCCATTTTAAAGCTAGATCATATTAAACAAGATGGCCTAACACATCCATTGTTACCAACCATGTCATGCTAGCATATCGCGGGCTAAATAACGCTCCAAAGTTAGGCTAAATTTTGACAATGGAAAAACTGGCATGGCCATTTTCAAAGGAATCCCTTGACCTCTGACCTCAAGACATCTGAATGAAAATGAGTTCTAGGGGTACCCACAAGTCTCCCCTTTGCATACATGCCCACTTTTTATGGATTATTATGCTAATCCCATGTCCCTAGTCATGGGAAGTAACCATGCAGTTTTTTTGCATGTGGTATAAATGTGTTATTTTCACCTAGTGTTTATGAATATTTCTGCATACTAGGGGTCCATAAACAGTATTGCAATTGCATTCATTGGGATGACTGAGAAGCTGAGACACATTCATTCCACCCCTGCATAAGTCAGTGCCCCACCTCTACTTGTATAAAGTTTTAAATGACTCTCAATCCATTTTACAGCAAGTTACAGAGATCAGGGCCACTGTCTTGAAAAAAGAAATGGAAATTACCAGCCACAAAATGCAGGAAAAAAAATTACATTTTCAACATCAAATCAAGCAGACAGGACAATTATAAAGCTGCGAAAAATATTTAAACATTTGAACAGGAAGATAAAAGGAGGTCAGTTTTTGATGAACTGAAGCAAGCCAGCTTTTCTATAAAAAGAACAAGAGAGAGGAGACAAAGAGAGAACAGTGGCAGAGCTGTCAGTGGAGGACAGAAGGATCGCTGCCCTCTGTCAGAGTCTTCAGGCTCTAAATAACGAAAAAGCAAAGATGTCCACCCAAGTTTTAACCGCTCAGGGCCTCTGAAACTCAGATAGATGGAAGTGAAGATGGAGGGATTGCAGATGGGAAAACTGTGGAGCAAACAGAGAGCAGAGAGGAGGAAGAAGCTGTCAGAGTGTCAGTTCCTTATAGATCAGTGAGATAGATAAGTAGAACAGAGATCCAACAGAAAGGTCTACTCAGGAGGTAATCTATCACAATGTAAAATCCTGTAGCATTAATACTGCTTAGTCATTAGCTTTTTATAACTTGTGAATAATGCTAAAAATGTTCAGGGTAGTTGCAGTCAAAGATGTGAGCAAGGGGGAGGTGGAGGTAAGAGTTACTTGCAGCTTCAATGGGTAGAAAGTTCCATTCATAAAAAAAAACAGTGTATGGCCAAGAATGCGAGCTTTGACAATTCAACTTTCACACATATATTATGATAATTTGTTGCTATGAGATAGTAAAATTCTATAAAATTCTTTTATAGTATAAACAAAAAAGAAAACTTTGGGTTTGTTGGATGAACACCTTGGTGGTTGAAAACCTGCAACTGTTTGGAAGACATTTTAATTTCATAAGAAGAAAGGACAGTTGGAAAAAAGTCTGTCCATTTGTAAGATCTGTCAGACAGTAATTAAGGACAATGGAAGCACGACAAATGTTCACACTCACCTGGTGAGACGGCATTGTGACACTTATGCAGTGCGAGGAGGATCCTGTGGACGCTAATACAGCTAGCACAAGCAAGAACACACAAAACGTATCAAACACTGGCCACAACTTAGCTACAACTGGGTGACATCTAAGGTAAGTCCATTTGTCTGTGTCTGTTGGAAAAGCAATAAATACAATGATATGTAATTCTGAAATGATACATTTTCCCCCTGCCATAAAGAAAAAAATACAATTTTATATAATATAGGCTATGTTTTTATATATAATATATAAATAAATATATTTTTTCTTTTTCCTTTTATTAGATAGGATAGAAGATAGACAGGAAAGTGGGTAGAGAGAGAAGGGATGACATGGAGCATGTGAAACAACATCATGATGAAAACAACAAACAAACATTATGTCATGGCTGTTTATCTCGATGAACCAACTCCTAATAACAGAAGTGGATGAAAACACGCATTCATTCTCATTTGTTTTTTTCAATTTTCTGGAAATTCTGCAAAAAAGTTAGCTGAAAGCATCAGAACATTTTTCAGATTTGGAATTGGTTCAGTCCTAGTCAATCTGTAAACCATATTCATTCGATTTTTCGCAGAGGGGCCTTTAACTAAAATGGTTTCCACTGAAAAAAATGTTTTAGTTATATTACCTAAATCCTTGATCCCATGAGTGAACACTTGATCAAACTGTTTAAAAATAGCCAGTAGGAGCAAAAAATCCTTATAGAGTTCTCCTAGTTTCTTCTTCTTCTCATCAGTTACTGAACCAAGCATCTTGTGTGATTTCAGCATAGTGTTTTATGGAGTGCAGCATGTAATAACCTGCCTTCCTTTCTCAAATGCCACAATGTGTCCATACTGCATCTAGCCTATTTGCCCCGTGTCCTACACTGTGTACCTCCCTCTGACGTGGGACGAGTTTGCGGTCTCCGCCAGCTGATCCTCTGACCCCTCCTGCTGATCAATACTGCCCCATCTGACTGCTTCTATTCCTAGCCACCATCCCTGCAGAGTCAGCCCCCTTCCCCCCTGCCCTTTTCCGCTTGCCTCGCTGGGACAGTAGTGTCCACTGCCAAGCCTGACTCATTTGAATAGAGATGCTTTCTGACGACACATTAAACGCAACATGGCATGTGACTCTGTGCGTGTGTGTTACATTGTTTGCTGTTCCCATATACAGCCATATGGAAACAGCTCCCTGCATAATTCAACATAAATTCACACGACGCACAGATATTAACAGATGACCAACATTATGAAGCAGATCAGGGACATATGATTTATTTACAAGGCTTCCAGTGTAAAAAGCTGAGTGACCCAAAAATGTAATGAGAACAGTATATAAAAAGAGCCAGCCTGACCCATATCCAGTTTAAATATGGGGCGAGTGCATAAAAAGATACAGTTAATCTGATGGTGTCTTGGCCCAGACTAAAACAGCTGCGCTTTTAAAAGCACATGAAAGTTACAGAGCACACACACTCTCTCTCTCTCTCAAACACAGATAAATGACTTTTTGGGGGTCCTCTGTAGTTGCTGGTGTTCAGAGTGTTCTTGAGATCCTTTGCTGCATCATTTGCAACCTGAAACAAGAGAAGAAGAGATCAAACCTCTTAACGCAATAAATATAATACAAAACCAATTTTACTGTGTCTGCAGTATGCATGGACAAATAAAGAACCACACTGCATAGCAAAAAGTATTCAGAGTAACTGATGGTCATCTGGAAATGGCAGTTATTTAGCTTTTTGCAGTTGCTCTCAGCTCAAATTGCAGCTCAAAAACACCAGAGATGCACAAAGTCTAGCCTAGGACCATATTTATCTCAGAGTCACTCCTGGGAATAATCACGCTTACTGAAGCACTCCTTCCTCAGAGTAGGACTTGAGAGTTATTTATAAGGTGTCCTACAAATACGCAATTTATATAGTAGACTGTAAACTCAGCCCCATCCAACCACAACCTTTCATAGTTCTTATAAAAGTGTTGCATCTTGCACATATAGCACAGCCACATGTTGCAAATGCCTCACGAAAAACTTCTTCTCTCTCTTCTTTTCAACACTGCAATTCCCCCCTTCAACAACACCCTCTGTTAACTCAGGTGACCCATAAGGAATGTGTTATTTATTTCTGTGATGTCACACAATCTGGGGAAAGGCAGCAATAAAATTTTTTGTTATAATGCATCCTCTTCTCTCAAATATTATAGCCCTGCTATTATTTGAAATAGCCTGATTAAAAAATAACAGGATATAAGACCCTATAAAAATATTTTACCTGTTACCTAAATTGAGATATCCTTAATTATGCAACTGACATTCAGCCAGGGGGACAGGACTGTGCTGTTACTGTGGACCCTCACCATGGACATTACTCTTTATGATGTGCACAAGTGTGATCAAAGTTTGATTTATGACTGACAAAGTTGTTGGCTCTGACAGAATCATCACAGCAGCATTGTCATTGGTGAGAACTGAACAAAAAACTTTTACCTTCAGTGAGGCCTTTTTGCTGTTTTTGACAATAATCCCTGATTTAATTACAGAGTCTCATTCAGCTCAAAAACTTTGAGGAGTGCAGTGGGACAGAGAGGTTTAATGGACTGGTTATATTATGCACTGACAATGACCAAGCAGAGAAGTTGTTCAGTCAGCTGAGTAGAACAACAAATTCACTTAATATTGTAACTCACTGTACAGATGAGAGCGTCAGCGTTGCGTTGTGTGTGCACTACGCTGCATGTTAAATCTGTGCAGTCTCTTCTTTGCTTATATATGTGTATTAGTGGCTGCAGCCAATGTCTTTATTGCTAATACATCTCTGTGCTGTCCTAACCCTAACCCTGCTGTGGTGATGTTTTATTCTACTGTTGATCCTGTGTCAGGCTATTTAATGTATGTGGCTTAATAATGCCTGTTGCACTCGCCGCAGTGTCCATAGACCCTAACCCTAATCCTCTAACCCTAAGCACAGGCTGTCATCTATAGAAATTGAATTATTATTGAATGACATATCAAGTAAATTCGAGGGGGTTTACATTAGGGCTCATGTTACTCATGTTGTTCCACTAGTTTATAAATTGACATTTAATGCAGATTATTTTGTAGCCTAAATAACGTTTACTCAAAGTACATTTTAACTGACCTGACTGTTGTGTTTAAGTTCATTTTTACACAAATACGCTTACTTTAACTTGAGTAGAATTTCTTTAAAGTAAAAGTACTTTTAGGTGACTACAGTATTCTAGTACTCTTTCCATCCCTTTTTTTAACTAAGAGGTGAGTGTACACCTAGGGGCTTCATTACCACGGTGTTGTACTATCATGCCACAGCTATTTCTGTGCTGTAAAAGCAAAAACTGGAGCCTAACAGCGAGGCCCTTTAGCAGCCTCTGTCATTATTTTCCCCCAAACTGTAGAGGCCTCAGCCTGCTTCCCCAGTTCAGTTAGTCTGGGCCCTACAGCAACACAACACAAAGCAATTTGCTCTGAATAGCCACCCAGGACATTTTCAGTGCATTACAGAGGCAATCGGCATCCGCAAGTAAACTGGAGGAGAGCGACACTGAGTGACAGAGCAGTCGAGAGAAAACAGAACCAGGACGTGTGTGTGTGATAGACGAATAAAGAAATGGAGAAAGGAAGGAGCCAGACGGAGAATAGGATGGAGGGCTATTATCATGTTACAGGCGGCCACAGTGCTGGTCAAGGTGCTGAAGGTGCAATAAAAGGACAGAATAACCCCAGTTGTAATGGCAAGAGAGTCTACATTACATAAGGCTGACTAAGGGTCAGTGTTAGAGGAAAGAAGATGAGGTCCCTGTTGTGTCCACAGCAGCCCAGCAGTGTTAATATACTGCAGGACATATTAGTTATTAGACACATTATGTCATAGCTGGTGATTATAGAGAGGCATTATTATTAGTTGTGTGGGTGGGATTTTATGTGTGTGTGTGTGTGGGTGTGTGTTGTGTGTGTTGTGTGTGTTTGATGGCCAAAGCAAGCCTGTTATTTTTCTGCAAACTCATCTCCTGCGCAGGTGAACATATCGCATAAAACAACACACAGCACCTGAGTCGTCCTGACAGAAACAGCACAACGTCTTGCGTTTCCTACTCTTTAGTTCCAATGAATGTTGTTCATATATTAGTCAACTGTTTTGTCCTCGCCATGTGGCCCTAACAATACAAGATATAAGGACCATTCTGGTTTATTACATATAATTTAACACTGTACTTACATTAATGTCTGAGATCTCTGGAATGTGGAAGTTAGATGGGCTAAAAAACACGATCATAGAGGTTTTAATCAAACCCCCAGGTTAACCGAACATATTTGGAAGAGAAAATGAAGGCGAACATTAAAATGATGCCCCAAACTGTTTGTTGAAAACATCCAGCAGAGTTTAGGGCAGTGCGTCACACAGCTAACATGATGGCCAAAGTCAAGGTAGAATGGACAGCATGAGATTATCAGGTGCCCAAAGCCAGGCAGCAGAAGGATGAGAGAATATTATTGTGTCTGGGTTTACACCAACTGTGAATCCCACCACCGTTTTGACTGCTCCGCTCCATCCACACAAAAAGGGACTCAGATGGTTGGACAGCTCAATCTGGGCCATGTCCCAGTTAGACAGAGGATGCCACAGTCTTCCATGTCCAGTTGGAATCTAGTCATCCTAGGATCATTCATCCTGCTCTGGACTGGACACCTGCAAGTAGGATACTGGGCAGGGGTGGATGGTGGGCTTGAGTTCTAGGTCTGTTCCAGACTCCAGCTTTTGATCAACTGCTTGTTTCTTGCTCCATGTAACTTTGCTGTAGGGATGTCTTTCCGCTTTCCTAGATCTCAGCAATTACAATTATGAGTACAGCATTATCATAACCGATAAAAATAATGACTAAAGACAGACCCAAGTTGTGATAAAACAGAATTATCCTTTAAGATCTGAGTTGTCACTGTCACCACAAAGGTTCCATGAACAATTGAGCAAATGGCATAAATGGGATTTAAGCAGATGAATAAGTAATGAGGTGAATCGCTGTTTTGTAGTGTTTCCCCAAACACTTCCTGTTGACACTGCAGCTGATCTGCATCAGATCTGACAGAATGCAGGAGGTGGGAGAACAAAGAGCAAAATAAAGGAGAGGGCGTCATTTCCTGTTCTTCCTCTGTGAAATATGAATCTGATGATGAATGTAGATCACAGAAAAGCGGTGTTTTCGAGACAGTTGTGAAATTCATAGAAGAACTGCATTTCTTGTTTTGCCTTTCAATTCAATGTGCTGTAACCGATGTGAAGTTGCTCAGGCATGCTATGTTGCAAACCATTTCTTTTAAATGTGTAGCACAGACAATGTCAGATTGACCCAGTCCAATTTCTTTTTCTATTTTCCCACTGTCCCATCTGGTCTCAAAATACACACCACTTACAGTAAAAAATTTCCTCACTGTCAAGTGTGGCCTCATTCTTTGCTTGCGGTGACACATTTTGACATTGCATGTGTTGCTATTAAAAGCTTATTGTTGATGGAAGATAAATAATGAGTTTTGGAACCAAGACCTTCTTTAAAGTGCGCAGTAGGGCTTTGATGGCTTATGACTCAGGCAATTAGAGTTTGGGAGTGTTACTCTAATAGGCTATTATGCATCTTTTCTAATTAGATATAAGACATGATGATACATGAGGGGGGTATTACAGGGATGCAGATATAATTATAAGCAGGGAACATTTTAATTTATATAAATATATTCAAGGATTATGTTTTTACAAACACACATATATGAATGTTAGCTACTTAGAGGTGATTTTCAGTCCTAAAAAGGGGCTGCAACCAAGAGAAAACAAATGCTTCGTGGCATTTGGCAGGCTATGTTCAGAATTAGTCAATAGCCTTGGGTTCTTTTGCTCCAGTCCTCCATGCTCTGCTGTCAGACACACCATGAGTTGTGTGTCAAGCAATATTGTACCATTCTTCAAAAAAGAAAGCCTCTAGTTCTTTGAAGGATGAAGGAAGTGGAAATCTACTGAGTCCCAAATTATTGATGTTGTAGCTACAGGTAACCTCTGAAATAAAATAGAAACTCAGAGTAAACAAGTGATAGAAAAAAATACCAAGCTTCTGGGCCACATTGTCTTGGCAGAGCTCCCCTTAATGCAAACATTACTGTTCTCCACACCAAGAACAATAACTGTAACGGTAACTATTATAATGTGAGAATGCACACTGATGAAGGATAAAGTTCTTCAAAGATGAGAGAAGTTAGGACAGGGCCTGCAGCTCTTTAGTCGCTCTTCAGTGCCTCCCTGTGGCTGTGACAAGACATTATGTGTAAATGAATAACGATACATTTTTAACATTTTCGTCTATCTTTGTAGGCCTAATGTGATTCTTACATTCTCCCATTGCAAACATGTGCGGCCATTACACATTGAATTAAATTTTTTTTACATTTCGTCAACTAAAATGTGCGTCCTGACCCGGCCCCTCTTCCATTTCGCAGAAGCTCAACAGCGGTGGTTGCTAGTCGTCTCCCTAGCTAAAAAGAAAGTCTCTGCTGCTGGCTTAAGTATTAAGTATG